CAGACACCCCAACCCTCACAGACACCCCAACCCTCACAGACACCCCAACCCTCACAGACACCCCAACCCTCACAGACACCCCGACCCTCGCATACACCCCAACCCTCACAGACACCCCAACCCTCACAGACACCCCAACCCTCACAGATACCCCAACCCTCACAGACACCCCAACCCTCACAGACACCCCAACCCTCACCCCAATTTATCGAGACGTTATATTTCTCGGCAATCCTGTTTAATTGCTGTTTATCGAAGCGTGACACCCTGTGTGGCTATTATAAGATTTAAAAAAAGGCACACTAGATTTTGGCCAAACCCCCAGGGATTCTCACCCAGGCCCTACCGGTCTCTTCGCATCATTCCTGTGATGTAAACCCCATAAGTTATTGAACCCATTTGATCACTTTGTTTGTTTTTGTTTTGTTTTTTTTGGTCAAACTAATTACTGGCTAATCATTCGTGGGTGAAGTATTCTAACAAAACACACCGAGGTCCAGATTTAGGAAATTTGAGACAGTCACCTACACGCTGAGCACCATTCAAATAATAATCCGAGCCAGACAAAGGCCAAGTAACGTCACGCATATAAAAGACACGTTGAGTGTTACATGACAACACTACTTGGTTTTCTCGCAGAAAGAAGGTTGGTTTGTGGCTGTTTATTAAGTGAATATTTTTAGAACATTAATTTTAAAAAAAATATTTTAAATATCGCTCGTGTGTCGCATACAAGAATGAAATAAGGCGTTGGTCTAAACATTGTCATGAAATAATCATTGTTAAATATTTAATTCTTATGAGTTCAATTCTTTTTATAATGTCCAATAAACAGTACATGTCACACTGTAATGGTCCCTTGAAAGATCTAAATATGTACATTTGCCTACACATACTTATAGCTCATGAAAACGTTGATAGTTTTATGGAGTATTTAGATAATGCCGTCATAAAAACTCGATTTATATTACTTTACAACATTCAGATTTTAATTTACAACATTTACAATTTTATTTACAAAGCTTAAAAATTAATTTACACTTTGAAAATTTAATTTAAACATTAACAATTTAAATGTGCAACATTAAAAATTTAATAAAAAACCCATTTAAAATTTAATTTATATTAACAATTTAATTTACAACGTTTACAGTTTGATTTGCGACATTAAAATTTTATTTACATTTGCAACTTAATTTAAAACATTAACAATTTAATTTAAAAAAATACAATTTAATTTACTTTTATAATTTAATTTGCGAAATAATTTTTTTTTTATTTACAATAATTACAATTTTATTCCAAAACATTTACAATTACATGTTCAACATTTACAAATTCATTTAAAAAATGTACAATTTAATTTAAAATTATAATTTAATTTAAAACATTTAAAATTGAAATTTTGCTACATGAAACATTTATTTAGCATACAATGTTTACAATTTAATTTACAACATTTATAATTTAATTTACAAAATTTTAATTTAATTTACATTTACAATTTAATTTACGACATTTACAATTTAACTTGCAACGAGCCATTTTTTATTTACAAAATTTCTAATTTAGTATAAAATATTAACAATTTAATTTACGCCGTTTACCATTGTTCTCCAACAGATTGGATTTTGTTTTCCATGTGTTATAACCACATGATCTAAATTAAAGTCTGTAAAATTTGTGTGTAACTTCAAAACAAAAGCTGATATGGTTGACAGTGGCTACGATGCGGATGCTGACTTAACATCCAAAAGGTCCCTTTACATCATCTTCATCATCCTCATACTGCTGGCCAACGGGTTGCTCATATTCAAGAATGTCCGTAAAGGTGACTTCATGTACAAGCCAAAAACTCTGACCATTTTATCATTGGCCATTGGAGATGTTCTTCTGGCTCTGTTTCCCATGGTTGTGTACACGAGAATTTTGTTCAATGAGTACGAGCCCAGGACAATGCCATGTAGTTTGTATTCGACTTCTAATGTGTACATGCCTTACCTCATCACCTTCGTGTACGGCTTCGGGTTAATGGTGTTAGGATTAGAAATGATTCTACATCACAGGATATCTTCGTTGGTGAAAAACTCAAAAATCGTTTGTTCCATCGTCTGCAGCAGTATTCCATGGGTACTTGGACTTATCATTGTCTTGCCCCTTGGTTTGAAAAACATAAACATGGACACCTGTGAAGACCACCGGAACATTGATCAGTGGAGAGCCTTGCTTGCGATTGGTATTTTTCTGCCAGCCTGTGGTGCAGTACTCACTTCCATCATCGTCAAATGCAAAGTCAAATCACCACACCGACAGGCGGTGAATAACTGCCCTCAAGTCATGGTTACCTCGAGTACTCAGCAAACGGCCCATGGCAGTGCTCCACTCACAAAGCAGCAGGGACTGCTCCCGACAGCACCAGCTTATCATTTTGAGCAGCCGTCAACCTTCGCCTCACCAACTTACGCCTTCCCATCACAGCTACAATACGATCAAGAAAAATCCCAACAGTTTTACGACATGCTAGCAACATCTCCGTGTGCCCTAATAACGCAACCACACTACATGCATAGCGGTAATCCTTCTGGTAATTTCTTAAACGGCACTACTCCGATGCAACCCACGGTGTTGGTGGGGGAGAACTCGTCCGACTCATCGCAGAAACCTGCCAGACTTTTGGTCATTTCAATAGTTTTTCTCTTATTAGTTACGCCTTTTGCCATATTTATTTTGGGCTATCTATTTGACACAGACGCCATACCCCTGGGATTAGTGGGTACTGTGACTGTAGCTAGCATAGTATTTTGGCTCAATATTATCAGATCTGTCATCACGCCACTCATAATGTACGGCTATTCTGATAACTAAAACGTTGATTCTTCATTCTCACTTAGATTTTGAGCAATGTTATGAAAGGTTCTCAGTCCGTTTTAGACTATACTAGACCAGGATGAGAAGCGTTATGAAAGGTTTAAAGTCAGTTTTAGACTGTACAAAAATGTCAATAAACAATCTGAATCAAATGAAAGTGACTTGTCAGAGCAGGATAACAGACAAAGATACTAGACTAGGAGAATAAAAAAGGATACTAGACTAGGATTATAGACGATACTAGACTAGGATAATAAACAAGGATACTAGACTAGGATTAGAGACAATGATACTACAACAAGATACTAGACAAGGATACTAGACCAAGATAATAGACACGAAACCTAGATCAGGATAAAAAAAACAAGGATACGAGATCACGATGACAGACGTATACTAGACAGAGATAATAGACAAGAATACCAGACTAGGATAATAGAAAACGATACTAATCCAGGATAATAGACAGGGATACAAGACCTGCGCAATAGACAAGGATATCAAACCAGGATAATATACAAGAATATTATACGACGATATTAGAGAGGGATACTAGAAAAGGATAATTAAAAGGATAATATTCGATGATATTGGATACACGCCCGGGGAAATCCAACATTAGCACACATCAACAGATGTCTGGGTGTTGATAGCATTCTTAAACATCAGTGTTAAGTACGTCAATGTCTATTGTGATTGCGTGTTGTTTAGAGATTATATGTATTGGTTTATTATCTAGTATGCTTCGTATTTTGCGACGTATTTTGTGGTAAGGGGAAATGACGTAATGTCATTGTGTAGAGTGTAGAGGGTTGTGATGGAGTAATGGCAGCTGATGATTTAGTTGCGTTAATAAAGATACTGTATTCTAATGATCAATAGTTTTTATAATTAACCCCCAGACAAAACATAGCCATCGAACCTCAGGTAAAAATCGGTTCGCAGCGATCAGTACGATGAATGATTTATAAAATGCACCAATAATTTATTTTTTTATTTAGCGAACATTTTCGCGATCCCGGGATCGGGGTAGAGAATCCTTAGCCTTAGCTGAGACCCCCTGGGACCACTCTCGCAAATATCTCGTATAATTAATTTCATATCCACCACTTCGTGATGGAAGTCTTATAAAATACAATACAGCTTACAGTAAATTTGGTTATTTCTGTTTTTTAAATATTAACATATGTAGCTTACACAGTGGCACAGCTTGGGGGGTTGTGGGCCGCACCGGGTGACACCATCTCTAGCTACGCCATTGAGCCTACATACTGTCATAATGAATTTTTTAAGTATCCTATCTACTGTCATAATGATTTTATTTTCGTTGATATTATTTCTTAGCCTTTTGAAAAAAGAAATTCTCTCCCCCCCCCCCGCCTGGTGTTAAAACCTGGCGACGCCACACCACACAAATGACACCAGGAGCAGGTCTGAATCATTGAGCCTACATACTGTCATAATGAATTTTTTAAGTATCCTATCTACTGTCATAATGATTTTATTTTCGTTGATATTATTTCTTAGCCTTTTGAAAAAAGAAATTCTCTCCCACCCCCCCGCCTGGTGTTAAAACCTGGCGACGCCACACCACACAAATGACACCAGGAGCAGGTCTGAATCCCAAGCTCCCCGCCGTCCCCGTTTATAAATAAAGCCCCTGAAGCAACACAGTGTGAAACGTATCTTTATTCTGTTTGTCTTTTCATTTAGTTTATCGCTGAAAAGTATTATCAAACAGTTGGCGTCCACTCAAACCTCTTTCCAAATCTCTCAAAGCTGTGAATGCTGATCGATGGGTAGGGCTATTTTACATAATTATTGATTCTTGGGTTTAAGCTTGTGCTAATTTATAACTCAAGTGTAAGTGTCAAACACGATTTAAAGTAAAAATAAAACTGATTGTCGGCGTGAAGAAGAGTAGAAAATAATTGTATTGTTTCGCCGTAAATGTTTCAAAATACCATTCCAATCAAAATGCCATTCCAATCAAAATACCATTCCAACCAAAATACCATTCCAATCAAAATACCATTCCAATCAAAATACCATTCCAATCAAAATACCATTCCAATTCTTCCAATCTCACTCGGATATTTTAAACATAAATACAAGATGGACAGATGGGATGATAAATAAGCAGGTCTAAAGGGATAGTTTGCAAAATTCAAATTAATTATTTCAAAAGTGAAATTCAACTATTAAAACAATAAAAGAAAGAGAAAAAAAATCAGCCCGTCCAAAAAAGGTATCGCCTAGGATGGGGTTCCTCGTCATCACCCTGTTTGTTCAACAATGGGGCTTGGGGTGAGCAGTCATTGCACATGTAGTGATGTAGATGAACACTCGAGCTAAGCAAAGAGAGACTGTGCAGAAGTGAAGATGAGCAATAAAGGTAGCCAAAGTAAAAATCTGTGCAGAAGTGCAGCTGAGAACTCTATGTAGCCAAAATAAGCCTGTGCAGAAGTGTAGATGAGCAATGAAGATAGCCAAAGAAAGACTGTGCAGAAGTGTAGATGAGCAATGAAGGTAGCCAAAAGGATTTGACTTGAATATAGATGAAACTTAAATTTGTTTTATTTTGATTAATTTAAAATAAAATTGGCTGCACACGATTTCTTTGCGCAAATCATTTTAATACATTGTAATTTATTATCTCCATTTTAGTGTGTTTAAACTTGTCTTTAAAAGAAAGCCTTCAAAAACAACAGTTTTTTTTTCTCTTCTACTTTTTAAGTTAAGTATTAGAAATGTAATCTTTAAATTATCGACAAAAATAGAATTATTTACTTTTTGAGGCATCGATTGTTAACAAAATCCAGGTGTGAGTGATTTAACTTTTTACCTAGGTATAATGAACCTCAGAAGCACAAAATTAGAACTATTACCGTATTCCATGTTATCTCCCCTTCCCAAGCGTTCTCCCACTTTCTCCCACCGTTCACTGAACGAAGCCATGGAGACAGGCGATCAATTGAGCGAGTTTGAAGAGTAACGTCAGTATAAAAATGAATTGACGATAAATTGAAATTGCAGTTTGAAAGAAAGTCTTTAATAATGAATACAAAGTATAAAATAACAAAATAAAATAGAAAAAAAAACTAATTTTAAAAAAGACACTTTATCAAAGAGGAGTTTCTAAAAAAGTAGAACATGATTTAAATTTCTTAAATGAATTACGCAAAGAAATACCGTGATCTAATTAGTAAAGTAAATATTCTGAACGAAGCAAGCGCGATGTTGAACAACTCAGGTGACCATGAGACAGACAATCAACCCAGCGAGCTCGCCCAGTCACATGCGTGAACCAAAAAAATTAAACAAATTTTAATATATTAAAAAATCGCTGGACAGACAAACCTAACAAAAAATGGAAATAAGAGTAAAAAGAAAGTCTTTTAACACGTGAAAAAATCAATATTGATGGTGTGACGAGCACAGTCATACTACCCCCCCCCCCCCTAAATGGATCCCAGCCACATGGGACCGCCATTCATGGTCTTCCTACTTTCCCACAAAAGGTAAAGCTGTGGAGAGAAAAAATGGAAATAAGAGTAAAAAGAAAGTCTTTTAACACGTGAAAAAATCAATATTGAGGGTGTGACGAGCACAGTCATACTACCCCCCCCCCCCCTAAATGGATCACAGCCACATGGGACCGCCATTCATGGTCTTCCTACTTTCCCACAAAAGGTATAGCTGTGGAGAGTACTTTGACCATGGCGTACCGGTCACCACGTGTCAGATGGTGACAACCAGGGTGACACCAGAATTCTTTCACAATAACAACAGACGCATATTTTAACAGACAGCTAGCAGAGGAGAAATTAATTATTTTTAAAAAGTAAGTCCAACTATTAATAAAATGAAACAAAATAAAACAATAAGAGTAAAATACAACTAGTTTACGTGATGCACCATCGGGTTGGGGGCCCGGGGGGGGATAGTTTGGTTGTAGTTAACTTGATGCACCACCGGAGGCATACTCTGGTTTAGTTCACCTGATGCTTCACCAGAGGCCAACGCCACCATAGGCCACAACCAGAGGCCACCAACAGAAGTGTACTGAAGACATAGTATGTTATTATTACGATTCCAATTTAAAAAAAAAATTATTATCCTTCCATGGAAGGCTTTAACGAACTGATTCTCAAGTTTTCATTTAACCCAAGAACCGGATTAACCTAAAGGCAAATGAGCCATGGGCCTAGGGTCCCCGCGCCCTTAAGGCCTCGCAACAGGGGATCCTAAAATATATCTTAAACATACTTGTTATGACGTAGCGTATAGTACTAGTGGTCATCTTAGACATTTCCTTTGACGGTAGTTTGAAGCTTTGATTCAAAGGGAAGATTCTGAGAGACCGCCGTCCCTTAACAACAGCCAGGCTGCCTGGGAAATTAAAATAAAACCCAAGCTGATTTGGTCAGTGCAAAAACGCCCAAATCTTGAAGTTAAACGGCATGACGTTGATTTTCTCAAATTAATTAAAAGTGAAAAGTTGAAGGGTATTAATTTTGATTAAGTGATTTGACAGGTTTGTGGCTATGAAGATCAGGAAAGGAAAATTTAAAAAAAACGTAAATTTAATGTAAAAAGATACACATAACTTAACGTTGTTACAGTTCTTAAATACAATTACCTCCTGAACTTTAATTGATTTGTTTTGTTCTTGTTATACTTTGAACTTAATTGAACAAAAAGAAATCCACCATGAGAGGCGGGGGAAGGGTGGGTGACACCATGAGTTTACCGCACCGGGTGACACCAACCCTAGTTACGCCATTCCATTCAATGATACATTTTAAAAATTTACCCTCTAGCTTTCTACATTTTAGGATTTATTAAAAATTACAGTTTTTTGTCAGTATTTTAAAAGGAAATTATGACTAAACGATCCAGGAAGTTCCGTGGGTCAGGAGGAATGACCATGTCAAATTTGGTTGCTGTCCATGGTTTGATTTTCGTTGTGACTGGATGACCCATCGATAAACAAA